TTTACCCTGCATGTCTTCTTCTGAAACAAAAGGCACAAAATATCCCTCAGCAAGGGTTTCTCCCAGTATTTCTTTCATTTATTCCTTTTGTGCTTTCTTTCTTCAGGCTTCCTTAAAAATGTAATTCCTATTTCTGTCACAGCATCACCCTTCAGCCTGTCCTGGAGGAAGGTGACTTCTGCTGATAGGTGAACCTAGAAAGAATCAAGTCTGATCAGTTAAGCAAAGAAATCCCGTTTTCCACCCTCCTCCAGTATAAGAGCGCTTTTTTTTCTCTCTCTTACCACAAGAGGACGCCCTTTCTCAGGTTTCAAAAGAAACAGATTTCTAGATTGTTTTAAAATGTCTTTCCCAAGTCAGTTAATAAACAGGAAATTTACATACACTGGGATTTGTATAATATATTGCCCTTCATTCCAGTGCTTTGCTTTCTTCTGAGAACCTAAATTGTATACTTGATGATTTTGTGATTATGGAATTTCCTGGTCACGTACTAAAATTTATGATATAATACTTTTGTTAATTAGTCTTTTATCAGATACTGTAACTCTGAGCCTGATGTACATACATAATACTTACTCAGGTTTATTTTCTCTTGAAATATAAAATACATGCCAAATTAGTTATTGGCAGAAACATAAAGCAGACCAAAAGTAATCTCCCAGAAAAAACCACAGAAGGTCTACAACTCAGTAACTTTCAAATTATGCCCTCTATTTATTATTTTGTAAAAGTCTTAAATTTAAGAACAAAATCTGGAATGCCATTTGATACACTTCTCATGCTTTGATTTTAACATTATATTTATCCACATTTTGTTCTCCCTTTCAGCAGGTGCTGCAGTAAACTGAGAATATTATCTATCTGCGTGTATTTGAATCTGGGGTCAGTATTACTGGCTACAGCTGTGGAGGAAAGCACTATGGGCTCAAGGAGCAGTGGAGGAATCCAGCATGCCCCCATGGCTCTCCATATTATGTGTTAGCCAGCTCCCCAATCCCACCTGGCTTTTGCACTCAAGTCAGTCACTGAAGAGCCAGGCAGGGACACTGTGGAGGTGAGACAGTCGGTGTGTTTCTCTTTCTCAGGATCCAGGATCTGTTTGGCCCTCTTTTATTTAGATATAGACATTTAATCTGAAATGTTAAACAATACTGTATTTTCATTTATCCGAGCAGGTAGGTTTGCTTTCCTTGCCTCTGTAAATTAACAAAGAATGCAGAAAACAGATGTGTACTTCCTTACCATTTCCAAAGCACCTCGAATCACCCCACAGAGGAGGTTACAGTAGCAAAGTGATGCTCGTTCTGCTGGCAGCTCCTCCACAAAATCCACCAGTGGGTTTTTGTCCAGGATTAAGGAGAATTCATTTCCTGCAGCACTACTGCAACTTACACTAGGGGTGACACCAAGGTACATCTTGAAAGCAACCTGCAAAAGGATGAAACTCTGCTGCTTGAATCTGCTGTATACAAACCAGAGGTGAAACTTTAGAATGCAGCATCCTGCAGACTAGTTTTGCCCCAGGAAAATAGGGGGAAGGGCCAGAGAGGCTAGAAATCAAACTGGATTTGTCTTTTCTGTATTCAGCTTGAGCCAGTAATGCAAAACCAGATTTATTCAATGCTCCAGGGAAACACAGCAGAAGGCTCTCTGTCCTGTCTTTGATGTTCCTACATTTACAATCCCATACAAAGTGGTTTTACTATTATCACTCGTCTGCTTTTAGTCTGCTTTCAGTCTTGTTATACTCCCCTGGGACCATTAGCCTTCGTATTAGGTCCTTCGCTACACTGCCGCAGCTTTTACCATCACAGCTCAAGATCTCCTGCAACTGGTGCGTGTTTTTCACTCTGATCTCCATCTGCAGTCACAAAAATAACAACAACCCACCAGGAACACAGGCTGCCAAGACCGCAAACTTGTTCGATTACTTAGAGCACTGCCTGCTTGCTTTCCACTACCGACGAATGCTACTGTAAATGTGCAACATCTGCTCTGCTGGCGGCGGGGTCCGTTCTGCAGGCAGTGACATCACGGCGTTATCTCGGCGGTGCGTGGGCAGGCGGGCCGGCAGCGGGCTGCTCGTCCTCGGGAGAGGCTCTCCCCTGCTGCAGACCGCTGCGAAGATAAACTGCCTCGGTTCTTACCTCCCTAGTGAGTATCAGACATGGATGCTTTCCAAACAATCCTAAAGTTCTTCATCAACCGGAAAACCGCCATAGGTTACAGTTTTATGGCACTGCTGACAATGGGAGGTGAACGCGTGTTTTCTCTTGTTGCTTTCAGATGCCCATGCAGCAGTGAAAACCTCAGGTACGGTTTGGTATTTCTCTTCTCCCCAGCTCTTGTTTTGCTAGTTATTGGATACTTCTTGAACAGCAAGACCTGGAAACTCTTTACAGGCTGCTGGGTGAATCCCAGGAAAATATTCCCCAGAGGGAATGTCTGCCGTTTCTTTTACGTCTTTGGACAAATCACTTTAAATGCCCTGATTGCCCCAGTGATGTGGCTTTCTGTGGCTTTGCTCAACGGGACCTTTTATGAATGTGCCATGAGTGGTTTGGACAATCCTGACTACTTAAATGCGGTTTGCAACAGAAAATCTGACAAGTGCTTTGGAGAGCTACACATGGTAGCCTGTGGCAAAAGCTCCATGCCCTTTTCAGAGAGTGATGAACTGAGACGAACACTTCAAGCACAATCCCAGGTAAGAGAAATTATAAATAAAGAGCATTATGCAAATTGTATTGCTGCTGTGATTCATCTGTGGAAGATCCTGATGCCAGATGTTATGTTAAAACCATTGGTTTTATGTAAACAGTGTTTTGGCAAAGTGCAGCCTCGCAAAATACAATCCATCTTTCAGTTCAGTTTGAGCTGTTCCATGCTTCCTGAGGGGCCCCACATATGGCAGTCTCAATAAAACCAGAAAACTTTAAGCTTTCTTCCTTAATGGAGATAGCTCTAAAGAGATAAAAACGGCTGAATTGTTTAAAAGGCTGAATTAACAGATGTCATTTCATTAAAGAGGTCTGTCCTTATAAAAAAATTCATGCTATACTCTCTTATTTTAAACTATTGTAATAAATGTACATTGTACAATGTAGAAGATTGTGATAACCATATTGTAATCTTAGGTCACTAACAGCAGAAAGATACTGGAAAATAAGATTTTTTACAGACTTGTGACTGCCTACATAATGTGTTTCTGTTTCTGTTCCTCATATTCATGATGCCAGATGCGAACACATTTAAAGGAAGGAAGAAATACTAGAATAAAGCAAGCAGAACTTGCAAAGCTGAGATTTTATTACATTTTACAATATTTGTGTGATACTGTTCTGCTCATTGCTTTGTAACACAAATAAATTCTGAGATAAAAATACAAAACACTGGAGAAAAAAAAAAAAAAAAAAAAAAAAAAAAAAAAAAAAAAAAAAAAAAAAAAAAAAAAAAAAAAAAAAAAAAAAAAAAAAAAAAAAAAAAAAAAAACAAACCCAGAAAAGGAAAAACACTGTGGAGCCAGGAAGTGTTTGTCAGGCAATTGTATCCATCTGGAACAATTTCCTCCCCAAGAGCCAGTTTTATTTTCAAGTCCTCAGGCAAATAGGACTGGAATGCAGACAAAGTCTGCACTGCAGCCAAAGCAATTTATTTGAGAGCTTTAGAACGAAATAATAAATAGTGCTTAAGAATATAGGTTGTAAGTATAGGAAATAATGAAAGACCAATGACTCGGTTTATAGCGTAAGAATACATGACTTAATTTTCCAAGCTGCAAGTAAGTGAAAATCTGCTCAAAAGAGCAATTTCTCAAACACCCATAGAAATCATCAGTCAGTACAAAGTGATTGGGAAAAATAAAAGAAAGCTAAACTATTCTTCCCTACAAGTTCATAACAATAGTTGTTTGTCAAGCTTCTCTGTTTCACAGACTTCCCTGAGGAGACTTTATATATTCTCTCAGCTAAATACAGATTTTTACTGGTGGTTATTTTTTTAAAATCAGTGCAAGAGGTCACATGAGGAGGGTTGCAGCTCTCCATTTCATCACCAGTAGAGCATGGGAAATCAGTTGCAGTTCATATGCGCCTCTGAAACCTAGAATATTTTTTCCACACTGGAATATTTTCCACTGTTTGCAGACAAGTATTACATTTTTTTGCAAATGTGACACATTGCAGTGGAGTAGATGAGTAAAACTATTGGCTAGGCCAGTGGTACAAGGCATCGAACATGCCAGTGTTTGCATGTCTACTCTCCTTAGCGGAGAACATCCCACAATAACAATTTCAAGCATATTTTTCCACCCTCATCCCTTGCTGGGGTAGCTCTTTCTTTTAAAATGTTCTTAACAGAATTTTGCCAAACTCTGAAGCTGCTACAGGAAAAAAAAAGCTGAGTGATGGTGGAAAAGCATATTTCAGCAAAAATAAAGTTCTCTGAAAATACAGAAATTGTTTCTAATCAGTGTGTAGATGAATAGGGTTCAATTCCAGTGCTAACACAGATGTACCAATGCACATAATATTTCTTCTTTGTTATGCCCTCCTGGTATTCTCATGGAACTGGGCAAAAAGGTAATTTTTAAACTGGTTTTAGCATAAAAATAACTTTCCACTGCAAAGGATTGATTCATCAAAGTCAAGAAAGGTTCACAATAGTAGCATAGATTCCAGTGAATATTCTGCCAAAAGAATTGGGGAACACTTCAAATTGGGGAACACTTTAAATTTGAGGCCATCTTCTATATTCCTGTTAGTTAATGCAGTTGTTGTGTTTGAGGTTTTTTTTAATTAAAAAGAAGTCCAAAAAAAACACATCTAACTGAGCTTACAGTTTAAAAGGCTGACTGATCTGGGACATAAGATCACCCTTTTTGGTTTTGTAGTTCATCATGATTTAAAATTGTGTCAATACTAATTTTTGTTGGGTAATTTTATTTAACACTTTCAGGAGATAGAAAACTTTTTACCATCTAGTGATTGATATTTTTTTCTCCAAATGCACTTTTCCCTTTGTGTGACAGAATACAGAGAGCAATTCCAGCACGCTACATGGCAGATGGTTACGGTTTTGCAGTAAACTCTCGTAAATATCCTCTCTAAATTACCCAGATACTACTCCTGCTCTCACGTCTGCTCTCTTTTCTGTATAGCTCTATTCAGCCATAGCATTATTTGATTGATCATTTAGACCTCTCATAGATTTTTCTTCATATACAGTCTTGTAGTTGAGGACTGATTTGAAATCATCTGTCTCTGAACCTGCCACTGCCATTGCATTGGTCATGTCTCTTCAGGGAACTGTTATCCAAGTTCCTTTTGTTATAATATGGTCTGGGGAGGCAACAAGACCCTAGTATGAGCCAGCTCATCAGGACTGTTTCACCTTACACTGTAAAAATCAACTAGCTTTTGTCTTCCTGAGAAAAAGACCCCAAAATGAGCACTTTCGAGAAGTCTCAGTCTGATGGACTTCTCCTTCCCTTCAGTCCCCATATGGATGCCCCATTAACATTAATGCCAGCACTAAATGGAAACTGGAATGAGATGCCTCCAGTAGGGTTCTAAAAAGAGCAGCAGGTGCTCCCTGCAAAGTCTGGTCACTCAGTCAGACATTCGTGATTTAAGTAGCATTTTCACTTGGGTCTTTTTAACCTGAAACTCATTTCTTTTGCTTTCCCAGATTTTAGGCTGGTGTGTGATAGTTACTGCAGCCCTGCTCTCCCTGGTAACCACTTGCTGTGCCAGCTGCCAGTCAAAAGTCAGCCACCTCCAGCTGATGTTCTGGAGAGTGTATGAGGGGACGGAGAAGGAGCAACTGGAGCAGATTTTCCAGCTTTATGCCACCAAGCTGAGTGAGCGAAACCTCAAGTGCTTTTTTGAAAACAAGGAACCAGAACCAATTTCCCTGCCAGCTTTTCAGGCATGGGAAGATGCTTCCCAGCTTTACTCTTTCAGCAGCAGCAAACAGCATTATAGCACAATTCACGAGCTAGTTGAAGAAGGCCAGAAAGGAACCAGTGAGGAAAGGGAGACAATGCTGGACTCTGTGGACAGAAGGGAAATACCATAAATCGAATATGTTTTCAGCTTTTTTATATCTTGCTAATATAGCTGCTTTCATCTCTATTTTTTTTTTCACAATGGTCTCCTTCGTCATGTTCCCTTCCAGTTACACACTTGCTCCAAAAGGATGGAATGAAATTATTTTCCCACATGAGTGAAAAGGCTGCCGTCCTCCATGTCACCCAGGGTTCACTCTTCACTAATGTCACTGGCTGACATCAAGCACTGACAGCAAAAAAGAGATGAATAATGACTACGAGAGGTTTTAACAATATCCTACGTAAAAGGTGCTGTTGTATTCTTTATGTAAATCAAGAGACTACCATTAAGTAACATCATCTAAATTTTGTGAATATGATAATTGAAGATGTGTGTGGCTTTCTGACAGCCCACAGAAAGTAAAGGTTTTCCTTTCAAGTAATTTCCAGGCCAATTGCAGGTACAGACTTGTTTTAAGGCCCCAATGATCCCTCAAGACCTCTCTCTTTGGATAATTTGCCAAACATCTTCTCCATATTATCTTCTCCAACTGAGAATTTGTTTGTATGGGTATCAAGTTTTAGTTTTGAGTGGGCTTCAGGCATTGGGTGCAGCCTGTAGTGCTATGCAATACTGTTTGTACTGGGCCTACAGTTAGTGTACAACAGAGGGCCTGGAAGGAGATTTCACTTTTCAAGACAACAAAATATTTTTGCAGAAGACTGATTTTTATTTTTCTCATTATCTTAGAAAACTTAGTGTGGGAGCAAGAAGAACTGGCAGGTAAGGCAACTGCATAATTGGTGCCTCTGACAAATGCGTTTCATCCCAGAGCCCTACGCTTTACCTCACCCACTTGGAATTCACCACGTGGCTCTCACACAGGGTGTCCATCCAGAGTATTCTCAAATGCCATATAAAAGGACAACAAGGTTACTTTCCCTGGGGTGTCTGGGCAGGCTTTAACACAGCATTTTACTGCCAGTCTCTCCGAGTCTGCAAAGCACCAATTTTTGCTGTGATTGAGTCAGGCTCTTATCAACAAACCAGGGTACTCTGCCCAGCTCTTCTCGTACTCACTGTGCTTCTTTCAGCAGGTAAAAGTATCTATAGCCATATACAGACGATTACTCTTTCTGAAATAAAATCCAAGAGCTAATTCCATTGTCTGCTTAGATTTTTTTCTGTCCGTTTTGAATAAATGTTTTCTGTCTGTTTTGTGACCTTTCAGACAATGTTTAAACTTCTTTTATCCCAGGTGATCCACTTGTCAACAGACTTAGAACATGTAATACGTTTAACGCTGGAGCTGAAAGCACAGATGCAACACTGCCAAAATGAAACAACAGCAGATGTGTCTGACACTGTGCCTGACATATATACAATGGGTTCCTCTCCTGGTATAGCATCCACCTACTTCCAGGGTATATGACCCTTACCATTTTTCTGGTTTTATCTTTCTGTATGAGAGCTGCCCCAGCATCTTCTGTTCAGTCCCATTTCACCTTGTCCCTACATGCAAGAGGAGAGGAAACAGATCCTGCTGTCTGGGCCAACCTGTCTTTCCCAAAACTGTCTTTCCACCTCCTTCCTTGGTGGTACCACAGAAGACCAAAGAAAGTGGGGATGCAAAGGGGAAGACACTACGTAGGTTAATAAGTTGATCAAGGACTATGGGAAATGTGTGGATTGATGTACAGATAAGGCCTCCAGTGTGATATATCTGGGACACAGAGCCAAAAGCATAGCTGGTAGAGGGAAGGGTGGAAGGACAGAATGATCCCGCTTAAGGCCTTTGGCATCCTCTTTTCCTTTGGATGAAAGCTCAAAGCTCAAAGCTCTGCACTTGAGTAGTCAGGGCCACATGAAACAGCAGCACTTCCCAGCCCAATCTTCCATTATGGAGGGAAAAAACCAAGGTGCATTCTCCCTTCCTCATCCTTACCCTGCTTCATGTTTGCAGGTAACTCCTGTTGAGAGTGTCTCCACATCCAAGAGAGCTGTTGGATTCATGGATTTGTGCTGCAATGCGTGCCTGATAGAAGCGCATCTCTCACTGTTCCTCATTCCTAGGGCTGTGTGACCGTTTTATCTTACAAAAATGCCTGTGACCTAATGCAATTTCCATGTGGATGCTGGAATACTTCCATATAACCAGACAAAAATAAAAGCCAGTCTGACCCTATGTTTTCAACTGGAATCTGGCTTTGGCAAATTTAACTGTGTCCTTCAAGCTGCTATCACAAAAGCTGTTTTCTATCAACACTGTCCCTAAATTCAGCAGCTACCATGGTAGCCCAGGATGAGACAAAGACTATCATTAGCACTCTCCAAAACAAACTGAAGAGAGAGAAAAAAAACCAACAAACAAAACCAAACAGTGGAATCAACATTTTCTGCTGGAAAACTTAGATTTTTCATTAACTCTTATGTCCATCAAAATATGAGTACACAGGAACCTTCTGCCCAGTTCTCTGTGCTCTGTCCCTCAGTTTACTTATTTAAATTCTCTTAACTCTTCTTCCACTACACATCTGCTGCTCCATCAAACTAAAGCCTTTGCTATAAAAGTAAAGACTTTTTAACTGTGCTAAGCTCTCATACGCTTTCAATTTAGTTTCAGCCGTACTTGGCATTACGGTATGATGTATCTGTCCAAATTCTGTGGTTTAAAACTTCCTGTGTAAATGAGAACTTGCACATGCAAAAGAAGTAGCTGGTTTGCAATGGAGCAACAAATTAGGGCAAAATAACAAAGCTATAAAATTGAACGCTGAAAATTGTGAAAACGTCTTGTCAGGAAAAATAATTGAAGTACTTAGATAAGTAATTCAATGAACAGATATGAATATTTAAAAAAAACCCACGGGCTATGACTGGACATTAATTTCTTTAAAACTACCATTTACAGCTTCTCAGAGAGTAAAACAAAGGTCTTTTCAGTCTTTGTGACTCCAAAAGACTGGAAAGTAAAATGAATGACCTGTTTTAAAAGTTGTCTCATTTATATCTATGAAACGGAAGAAGAAAGAATATTTTTTAGACATATACATAGTCTTGCCATCAAAATTATGCCTGTATAAAGAAAAATCTCTTTTGAAAATGTTACTTGCAGCTCTATGAAATTATATATTGTTTAATGTCAAACAAGAAATCTGTGCAGTCAGAATTAAAAATGTACCACTGACCTTTTCCAAAGTCTCAACCAGCATTCCCTCTCTCTGAAGCAGCAAGAATAAAATTCATTAACATTTTGATGATGCTCAAACACAGTCTAGAATTACTGAAATATTTAGGAAGCCACTAACTTATCAGTCCCTTTACATACTACTGAGGACTTTTCACTACAAAACCTTGTATGCATAAGTAATGACAGAAAGTAAGTAAGTACACACTGTTAAACAAGTGAAAACCATAATTTCAGCTGGCTTCATAACAAGATTAATGAAGGACCAGAATTAATCTGCTTAGAAGGGAAAAGCAGCCAAAATAATATTTTTGCTAGCATACTTTTCATTCTTAGTATTTTTCCAGTCAGTATTTGGTATGGCAAGTTGCTTTACAGCAGCTGATTCCAACCTTTTTCATAAACTTTTCTTTACTCTTTACAGTGCAGCACTTCATTTTTCAGTTCACTGTCTACCACTTAGCACAGCAACCTGCTGTATGCATTTGTCTCTTACCGCTGAGGTCTGAAAAACAACATTTACCAACTTTGATGTCAAGGTTCTCTGAAGAGGAATTGAAGTAAAAATTTTACTTTGTAGGATTATAGAGCAAAATTATCACCCTTATTCCAAAAGTATATACTCAGTTAAACTCAGATTCAAATTCTGAATCCAGTCTTGGACATTACTTCTTCAGCTGAGCTTTGTTCTTAATACCATTCCTCAGTTGGTTTCCATTTTCTCATCCCAGTTTGTCAGTGAGAGCCTACTTTACATGGCCTGTTTTACCTTTTCTTTATCCAATCCCCAACTATAACCATGCCAGGTCACAGGACCAACATGAGAAGTCAGCTGGCACCATGAGAACTCAGCGTAGAAGGGCTCATTTTGGTTCATCATCAAAGCTTGTTGGCCCTTCTCCAGTCCAGTATAAGGCCGCAGTAAATCGCAGGCTTTGCAGTCTGAACCAGTGGTTGAAGTTTTAAGCCCTCAGTCATTGCCTTGGGTGCACCTTTCCTCCACCTTTATTTCTTTGTGTGGGAAGGTGGCTTTGTAGTCCTCATTTTATGGGTTTTTTTGTTTGCTTCATCTCTTTCCATTTCCTCAGGGAACATCCACAGCCTGACCTTACAGACTTTTCCTGTGTTTTCCAAAAGACTGCTGGATAACAACTATGTTTACAGGACGTTTGGCTCTAAGTACTTGAAGTGCTTAACTGTCTTTATTACTCTAACTTTGAACTGGTTCTACTCATCCTCAAACAGATTTATACCTCAGAAGACTTAGTACAGCTGAGTATTTATGCACTTTCTCCTGGCTCAGAACGCTACTGCTGAGGAATTAAAAACATTAGGTAAACAGCTGTGTGATTCTGAACACAAAAATTAAACACTGTATTTGCAGTTACTTGCTGGGTGACTTTACATATGTTTTGTTGGTATGTGCCTCAGACAAATGTGCTTGAAGAGTATTTAAAAATGTTTTGCCTAAGAAATGTGGAAATGCTTTCCATATCACATTTTGCCTCAGAAATGCTATACTCCTACTACAAAACTCCTCTTCTAGTTTGCTAAAAATAGTCTTTTCAAGAGACTGTGTGTGCTTTAAAGTAAAATTCCAGTCATTCCAAGTAATCTTTTACTTCTCTTAGTGTCTTTTGAAGTACATCCTGCAGAGAAATAGTGTCTTTTTCCTTACTTCGATCATTAATTCTGCACTGTTTTGTGCTGTTGAATCCCCTGTACTTGAGAATGGTGGTTCAACTGTAACAAGGCATTTGTAAACAAGGGAAACATAAAGAATAAGACCTAGAAAACCAGATATCAGACATATGCATGAAAATAAAGTACCAATATCATCTAAAGTAGAATGTAAACCAAAAGTGAACAAAAATGTGATTTTGCAGCCTGGTATCATTCTTTTAACGAGACAGTGTATTTTTAAACAGTAATTGAAATGCTGCTTGTCTCATGGGTTTCATTCAGCAGCCCTCCAATGGATCCTCTACCCCAGCTCGGCTGATCCACAGGAGGAGCGTTGTCATATATCATCCTGATTTGAGACTCCAAAATAGACTTTACTAAAGTAAGAAATTCAGTTTCCACTCTTTTATGAGCTATTGGGCTCTGGCTGGCTTTTAGTACTGTCACCTGCTTCTCCTTTAAACTTTGGCAGATCGTGGTGTACATGTATGTTTTGCACATGTGCACCTTAGAGCCGTGCCAGCAACAGGAAAAGGAGTCTCTTTCTCCATTTTTGTGACAGCCATCAGCTTCTCTATGATAAGGGTTTTGGAATAATAATGTAACTTCTGTCCCTCCATTTGATTCTAATGCAACGTAGATATTTCTAACACAGTTAATGTGAGCAGGATCACACACCATCTGGTAATATCCACATACATTTTGAACTAAGATGCTCCTGTATAACTAGCACATATTGGTGCCTTAGTTCACTATACAGCCTGCTGCTTCCTAGTTCCTTAACCTAGTGAGTTGAACATAGCGATCACATAATGAGAATAACCACACGCTGCTGGTAATTCTCAAGCAATCAAAAAATATGTCAGGTATACTTCTGTCTCCTAAAATGAGCCAACAGAAATAAATCTCTGTTCAATGAAGTGATGCCCTTATCTCTCCTCTTAGAATAAATGACCACGTTGTGAACTTCTTTGTTATAAAGTGTGGTTCATTTTTGCCTTTGGGAAAGGCCAGGCATATCTTCACTGGCTTCACTTCATAGGTGGAAATCATAGAGGATACAAGGGATCATTCATCATGACCTGGGCAGGTGTTAGTCCGAGCTAACTCAGTCTCTGTGAACTACTACCTTCTTTGCAGTGACTCAGCAGTCTAACGGGGCTGGATGTCTTATGAATTTCTCTTTGAGCTTCCTCAGGAATTCTGAATTGCCCTTGGGATAAAAGTACATCTTTAGAAACCCATGTATTGCCACTACATTTCCTCTTTCTTTTCTGACAGAAGTGTGAACAACTACTCAATAAAAAGGAAATTTCCATTAAAGAAGGTGAAAGTACACACTGATTTTATGGTTTTGATTTTATTATTAATTTGTGGATAGTCAGGAAAATGTTCCTCTCATTTTCCTTTCTTACAGTTTTTCTTTCCTACCATTGATATTTTCTTTTTGCACAAAAGCCTGCAGCTTATGCATAATACTAATTACCATTTTAAAGTTTAAAAACGTCTAAGATAATTATGGAGGAGAATCAAATGGAGAACTAGGAATATTGAAGTTTAAGATCTGTATGAGATGCTTAAGGCTGATGCTCCTAGGAAGAGAAAACAGGGAATATATGATTGGAAGTTTGTTAAAACAGGATCATTTTTTGTTGTTTGTTGCACTGTCTAGCAAGACTAGAAGAAATCAGTTTAAGCTGCGACAAACAAAACAAACCCCCACCTCTTTATTTATTCTAATTGCAAAATGCCTTATTAGCTGCTAGAAATAGAAGAATTTTAATTTCAGCTTAGTAACTGACTTTAAAGTCAGTTTAAGTCAGGGGCTGGCAGCCTCTTATAGCTGGCATCCCATTTTGTGTTAGGTGTTATGGAGTTGTAGATAAGGAAAAGGCTGTATTTCATCCAGTGGAAGCATAGATGTGATTGTGGAGTGTTTTTTGATATGAGAATCATGATAGAGCAGAAAATGTAGGTAACTGTTCTGGAGTAAATTGAAAGAAGAGGGAAAAACTAAGACCACTGAATCCAATGAAGCTCTAGAAAATGTAAATCTTATTTACCTGTGCAATCATGTCTGCAGTTTCAGAATAACTGCGGCATTTTTTAACAGCAGAATGGGCTAAAAAGTCATCAATCAGCCTTACACCAATGCTGTAACCCCTAGGGAGGAAACAAAGAAAGTTAACATTCAAAATGGGGAGTTTCTTACCATCTCCCTAATGTGTCTTTGTGCTTTCTCAGAAAAACAGATGCATGGTCCTTATTGGGTGGCTTTGATGACAACAGATTTTGCTGGTCTACATTCTGTTTTCTACCACATTTTGCAACACAGTGGAACTGCTGTTCATGTAGTCATTTAAGGAATCATACCTCTTTAAGAATGATACTCCTGGCAAGGATGATATGAATTGTTTATACAATTTGTCTATGCATTGTCTATATATATGTATACTT